AAGATAATACTGTGACTGATATTTTCCGCTAGAGGGCACTGTTTAACTTCCAGTCTGATACTAGGTCAGGCTCCAGTGCAGGAAAACAGCATTTATTCTTTTAAGGTTTTGGTCAAGTTCATACTGTCTGGGGGTGTTATGTTACTCCTCTGTGTAACCAAAGGAACATATATTGGAACATCTTCCCTATCTTCTTTTATAGTAGACCCGACAGAAATGAAGATAATCTGAAAAGACACCTCTGTCTCTCATGCTGGGAAAAGGAAAAAGTCCCTAGCCAGAGGAGAAACTTGTCTGTTGGAGAAAAATTTCACACAATTTTAAAAACTTGTCAGATTGTTTAACAGGACGAGACTAAAGTGCTGTGTCCGTGATGGGCAGGACCAGACTGACTGAAACAGCCTATGTGTACATGTCCTTGGCTCTCCAGTGAAACTTTAATCTCACTAAAAGGCTCTGAAGATGACTTAGGAGAGTTTCTGGATCTCTTTGTTATGGTCACATGAAGTAAATATCCCTTTTTTTGTTCCCCACCTTTAATTTAGCTTGGTTTGTTGGCTTGTTTAGGAAGAATGCTCAGGCCAGACTCGGAGCCCAGGTAGTGACCCACAAGTTCAATAACACTTAGTCTTTCTCTCCAGAGCACACTCCGAAGAGTTCCCCTCATCCATCCTTTCCTCATGAGCAATAGAAAGGAGAAGCCTTTGGACTAATCTCTCTTATTGAGAGAGAACTAAATTCCTCCTTATATTTTGTCATCCCTCATTAGTGACAATGACTTTAATAACTTGTAACTTTGATGGGTCTTCCTGCATTTTGTGTGGTTAATCTTAGCTAGCCTGTGCAGAACTCATCATCCAAAAACAAACAAACAAACAAACAAACAAACAAACAAACCAACAAAAACATACCTCTAGAGTAAATTTGACCCTCATATATCTGGTGGTCGGCAAGCTTCTAGTGATTATATGAGTCAGGGAGGGTTCTTGTGGGCTAAGCCTCAGGTAAGTGCCTTAAATGTCAAGAGGCACCTTTTCTTCTCCCAGTCCGTGTGAAGAGTAGAATAGGTGTAGACTAGGGGCATGAATCCTTTCACCAGGTGAGAGACTTTCATGTATTTGCAGCATCTCTGGAATGACAAGGTTTAGGGGCACATAATGAATCAAAGCTGCATATCACAAGAAGTCTGTGAAAGTCTTGGAGTGGTGGGTAAGTTCTTCTCTCTAGAAGACACTGCACTATTCTTGATTGTGCGAGAAAGCTGTGAGAGTCTATGAGCATGCCATTATGATATTTCCCACCTTTTGGTTTTGGTACACAGCTCATAAATTGATCCTTCAGTCTTGGATGAACTCTCAGAGACAAAGGCTGTATACCAGGAAAAGACCTCTGGAGTACCTTGCCCTGACTTCCCAGCTCATGGTCTCAGGAAGCCATCTTTGTTACATAGTTAACTAGGCTAGCTTCACCTCAGGTCTGGAAATCTGCCTTGTTCAAGAAACCAATCTGTATTCAGCCAGACATGTTACCTTCTTTATTCCAAGACCCTGACAGTCTTGCCTTATTTTAAATGTTCACTGAAGCACGGTAGGTCTATGTCTGTTTGTAGGAGAGTAGTGTTGAGAAGATTCACATCTTAAGATATGTTTGTGCCCAAGGGATAGAGCAGAAGAGGACAGAAGTACAACAGTGTCCATAATAAGTGAGAAATGATGCTAATAAATTGCATTCAAACAATGTTTGTAAAATTCTTGAATGGAAAAAAGAGACTTATTCTTTATAGCATATCCAATGAACTGTGAAAAAAGGAGGCATTTTATAGGTGGAAATTTCTATTAGGATTCACAGTAATTTTCTTCCCAAAGATTCTGGTTCATTCCAGTTACATGATACTTTGTTCTAGGTCCCATGGCTTTCTGGTGTCAGGTTGAGGTCCCAACTTTTGTTTTTTATTTTTTAACTATTTTATTTATTGGGGTTCTATTTATTGGGGTTCCCTTCCAACCCCCTCCCCCAACACTAGATAGAAGAGAAAGAAAATTAGAGGGGAAGGGTCAGCATATATCTCTTTAGACTAGTTCCTCCTGTTTAGGGATGTAGTTCCTTAAGGCAAGTCTAATCTTCATAGTCAGGATATGCAGCAGTCCAGCAAACCAGCAATAGCAAATGCAGCAGCAGGATGCACCAGCCACCACAGGCCCTCTTGAGGTGCTGGCATTTATACCTTCCACATGTTGTCAGAATTAAACTGTTTGCAGCTGGCACAAATCACATCCCTGCTAGGGCACAAGACAATCATGATTAATGGCTGTGGACAAACTAAAGCAGCCCATATGCCACACTTGGGATTAAAAAAAAAATAATAAAATTCATATAACATAACTGGGTTAAAAAAAAAAAAAACCAAACAAACCTGTTACTACATTCTTCCCCGGAAAAGAGCAAACAAAAAACATACACAGTCATTCCTTGCATTAGTTTTCTCAAATTTATCGCATGGCAACTCTGTTGATTAGGGTTTTTTGTTTGTTTGTTTGTTTGTCAAACACAACCTAGGGGCGTCTGGGAAAAAGAAACCTCAGTTGAGATAATGCCCCCATCAAGTTTGTCTGTAGACAAGCCTGTGGACATTTTCTTGATTACAGTGACTGATGTGGGAGGACCCAGTCCATCAGGGTGGAGGGTGTACCTCCCCTGAGCAGGTGGTTCTGAGCTGTATTAGAAAGCAGGCTGAGCGAGTCAGTAAGTAGGGTTTCTCCGTGGCTTCTGTTTCAGTGCCCGTCCGTAGTTTCCTTTCATGATGGACTACCACTGTCAGCTGAAATAAACCCTTTACAAGTGTCTTTTGGTCATGGTGTTTATCACAGCAATAAAAGGCAAACTAGAACAGTTGTAGCGGAGGACTAAGTTACAAAGTAAGTGCAGGGAAAGGGAGGCCCCAACATTTTTACATTTATTGTATTTAGTGGATTATGATTAGGTTGTGCATTGATCTCATACTCCATATCATGTAAAGCAATGTTTTTTTTTTCTTTTGGTGTTTGTTGTTCATTTCATTTCACAAGGGTTTAAACTCTATTTTGAAGGTGAAGGATGACTTTGATGGTGCACACGAACAATACCATCGGTCTGTCACTACCCAAACATTTTGTATGTAAAAAGAATGTCACCCCGTGATTTTGTTGAGGTGAATTGGCACTAAGGGGGCTCATGGCATATTAACATCATATCAGGAAAATTAGGTCCAAGAACATATTGGACAAACCAGACCAAGGAAAGGGTGTACTTTCATCACCTGGATACCTGCAGTGTGATGGTGGTAGCCATATTGACCTGTCATTGGCCTAGTATGTGCATTGTGAACAAAATCTCCTTCCTGAACAGGACACCAACAGCACAGGCTCTAAGAGCAACAATCAATAAATGGGACCTCATGAAACCAAAATGCTTCTGTAAAGCAAAGGATACTGTGGTCAGAACAAAATGACTACCTACAGATTGGGAAAGGATCTTCACCAACCTTATGTCTGACAGAGGGCTAATATCCAGAATATATAAAGAACTAAAGAAGTTAAAAAGCAACAAATTAAGTAATCCAATTAAAAAATGGGGTACGAAGCTAAACAGAGAATTCTCTGTTGAGGAATTTAGAATAGCAAAGAAACACTTAAAAAGATGTTCAACATCCCTAGCCATCAAGGGATGCAAATCAAAACCACCCTGAGATTTCACCTTATATCCATCAGAATGGCTAAGATGAATAACTCAAGTGGCAACACATGATGGAGAGGTTGTGGAGAAAGGGGAATCCTCCTCTATTGCTGGTGGGAATGTAAACTGGTACAACCACTTTGGAAGTCAATCTGGCGCTTTCTTAGACAATTAGGAATAGTGGTTCCTCAAGATCCAGCTATACCACTCCTAGGCATATACCCAAAATTTGCTCAAGTACACAACAAGGACATTTGCTCAACCATGTTTGTAGCAGCTTTATTTGTAATAGCCAGAATCTGGAAACAACCCAGATGTCCCTCAACGGAGGAATGGATACAGAAATTGTGTTATTTTTACACAATAGAATGCTACTCAGCAATCAAAAACGAGGAAATCATAAAATTTGCAGGCAAATAGTGGGATCTAGAAAAGATCATTCTGACTGAGGTATCCCAGAAGGAGAAAGACACACATGGTATATACTCACTCATATAGACCTATAAGATATGATAAACATAATGAAATCTATACACCTAAAGAAGATAAACAAGAAAGAGGACCCGTGGTAAGATGATCAATCCTCACTTAGAAAGACAAATGAGAAGTGCATTGGACGTAGGAGAAAACAAGTAACAGGACAGGAACCTACCCCAGAGGGCCTCTGAAAGACTACCTAGCAGTGTATCAAAGCAGATACTAAGACTCATAACCAAACCTTCGGCAGAGTACAGGGAATCATATGAAAGAAGGGGGAGTTTGTATGAAGTGGAAAGAATATGAGTTCCACAAGGACCAAATATATCTGGGCACAGGGGTCTTTTGTGAGACTGACACTCAACCACGGACCATGTATGGATATAACCTAGAACCTCTGCTCGGATGAAGCCTGTGGTAGCTCAGTAACCAACTGATTTCCCATAGTAAGGGGAACACGGACTATTTCTGACAGGAACTAAATGGCAGGCTCTTTGACCTCCCCACCCCCGAAGGGAGGAGCAGTACTGCTAGACCACAGAGGAGGAATTTGCAGCCAGTTTTGAAGATACCCAATAAAACAGGGTCAGATGAAAGGGGAGGAGGTCCTCCCCAATCAGCAGACTTGGAAAGGGGCAGGGAGGAGTTGAGGGAGGAAGGGAGGGTTTGGGAGGAAATGAAGGAATGGGATACAGCTGGGATACAGAGTTAATAAAATGTTACTAATAATAAAAAAATAAATAAAGTATATATATATAAATATATATACTGTTTAATATATATATTTATTTATTTTAAAAGAAGCTGTATCTGCAAAGGCTGGTTGACCCATTAGAAGTTCAGTACTTTCAAGAAAGGTTGGGATGTTACACGTCCAAGGTACCTGAGGTCTATGGAGAAACTTCCCCCACCTTCCTGTAAGTACTTCTCTGATGTACCCACCAATGGATTTTCAACTTGATTCATGACTTTTTTGTTCTGTAAAACTGTAAAACTGCTTTAGTGTTGGAACATGGAATTCATGGTAACCTGAACCCGTATTGCTGGGCCATGATCACTCAAAAAAAAATGGATCCAGAGTAAACTACCTCTTATTCCATTTAAGATGAGTCGTGTATACAACCAGATCAACAGCATCACAATTGCTCTCTTTGTACCATTTCCAAATGAACCATTTCTACAGGCCAGAAGTAACTGCATGTTTACAAAAGGAGGGCTGAAGAGACTTGAAGACACACCTTTTGTTATGTGACTTATAAGTTAAATAGGATTTTTAATGCAGGTTAAAATGGAAATAATAGTTACTCACTTGAGCAATTCTAATGAGTTCATAAATGACATAACCAGAGCCAACTTGGGGGTCCAGCAAGCAGGCATTTGATTTAGTTTCCTTACTCTAATTCCTCCTATCTTTCCTCTGACGTCTTCATCTTGTTTCCTCCCGTGTGTGTAGGCATCAGTGGCTTTAAAGTGCATGTCGTTTCTTCTCTCCCTTTTCTTTCCGTCTCCAGCATCATTGTCTAGGGACGGCACAGATGCGGTGACTGACTGGGGAAAGGGTGATGCCCATTCTGAAGTTTGTACTCAGCTTCTCATTGACTGGGGGCTTGAAGGTGAATTTTTGCATAAGAGCGGTGAAGAAAATGAACAACTCAGACCTGGCCAGTTGTTCTCCCAGGCAGGTTCTCTTTCCTGCAGGACAAAAACAGAAGAGTCACTTCCTCAGCTGACTTTGGTGCATCTTAGGGCTGGTGTCCCCAATTTCCTACTGCAACTGCTGAGCTGACCCTGGAACTTGTGACCAGCTGATTATCACCAGCAACTTTGTGATTTGGCCATTAGAGCCCCATTCAATCCGGCATTACCGACATTTGGCACAACAGCATATCTCAGATGTGTGTTTTCATTTTGTCAGCACAGAAAATTGTCATTGCCCCAGGTATCCTGTTTCCTTGCATTGAATATTGATATGCAGAAGTAAGACCTGGGCAGGAAGCGTTCTCACAAGCCTGGGAGCCATTGCTCTAGGACACCTCATACCATACACACATGCCCTCTGAGTATTCATCCAAGGGTTTGCGTAAACACAGGTATTTGTGTCTATATTTATTGTTGTGTCCATCTACTTGTCACTCTCTCTATTGAATATCTGGGTTCACATATCTGGGTGGTATCTGATGAGACAGGGCAACCCCATCACCCCACTGTGCCTTTCCTCCATGACCGCCCTCATCAAGTATCTCCACAGCACCGCACCACTGCGTCCAATCTCTAGCCCATCTTTAAGCCTTTCTGTGTGAGGACGTGTTTGTGCATATGTGTGCTCATCAAGTGTGTACATGTGTGTACATGTGTGTGGATGCCAGAGGACAGCCATGGGTGTTGATCCCTGAGTGCCATGTCCCCCACCATTGATAGGTAGGGCCTTAACTCTTCAGAACTTGTCAAGTCAGTCTGACAACTGAGGCCCAAGAGGCTCTCCCTTCACGTGCTAAGATTATAAACACATGCCCTCATGCTCAAGGTTTTTGATGTGAGTTCAAATTATGTTCTATGCTCCCGAGGCAAGCACTTTACCAAGTGAGATGTTCACTCTGCTGCCAAGTGTTTTCTTTCTTTCAAAATAATGCTTTTCTTGGCTGAAGAAAGATTTTAAAAAGTCAAGAAAAAGAAATTTGTGAAAAGAACAACAAGAATGCCCAGATGTGCATTCAGACAAAGCTATTTATTAATATTTGAACATATTTTCTACATGGGATTTCCAACATGATTATAGTAGCAAGAATGATAGCATGCACCAGTCTCTGCAGGCTAATGTATAAGAAGCTGCATTGGTTTTCAGTGAAATTAAACATTCTGCAATTTTCTGATGGATGTATGTTTCCACTACATTGTCTGACTAGTACACGTCGTTGGGGAGATAAAATGAAAGCAGACCTGAAGAGGTGCACAGTAAACATAAATGTGTTAGGATGATGCCAGCATCTTACTTTACACCTGTGTTTTTCGCTATTGTATTTCAGTTCTCTGTTATCCTCATGCTCCTCCTGTTAACCTGTCATGAATAACATGGCTTGCAACTCATTAAATAATAAGGATTTTCCTCTAAGAGTCCACATACCATGATATGTAAAGTTAGCACCCAGAGTTCATGGTGTAACCTGTCTGCAACCTTCTCTATGACTGTCGTGATGCTAAGCCTTCCTTATTTGACAATTACATGAAATATTCTGTTTCTTCCTGTGCATGGATGGGCAGGTGGAAACTTGTTCAGCATGGAACATGTTGAAGACACTTGTGTGAAGGCCTGTGTGATGGGTAATCTTGCTTACCGGGTGGTTTAGGTAAGAATGGCCCTCATAGGCTCCTATATTTGAATGCTTAATTACCAGAGAGTGATGGCGAGAAAACTGAGGTCTATCTGCTAGGTCCTTTCAGAAATGATTGTCCTGTAGGTCGTTGAAGTGAGAAGAAAGACCTGTCCTGAGTACACATGGACACATGGTAGCATCCAGTTGGGCAGCACTTGTCGCCTGACAAGGCTGCCTCTTCCCGAGCCTGTGACTGTGTTGCTGTGTCTACTCAAGACCAACCCACTCCACCTTCTTTAGTCTGTGAACCTGGGATCTCTCCAACTCTGCAGGAGACTTTCAGGTTTTCAGGTACAGGCTGCATTATATGTTCCTCTTATTTCAAGGATTGCAGGATTTTTTTTGGGGGGGGAGCTGGGGAGCACTGGTTACCCACTCCTCTTACTCTCCAACTAGCTGAAGGACATTTTGTCATTATACAGCGATGACTGTGTAAATAAAAAGAGTAATATTCACACATGCTGTTGACAGTGTCTGTTCCTTGATCATCCTGATCAATGTTGGTGTCAGAGCTCATGCTAGAGAAGAATTTTTTTTTCTGTTTTTTCATTTCGTATCCCGCCTCTTTTCTCATTTCTCTCCACTAATGGCACAAGTCATGGTGGAAAGTGTCACTCTTAAACAAATGGTCCTAGGTGTTATAAGAAAGCAGGCTGAGTAAGTCATGGGAACTAGTCAGTGAACTTAGTGCCTCGGTGGTTTGTGCATTAGTTTCTGTCTCCAGTTCCTGTTTTGAGTTCCCAGCTTGCTTTCCTTCAGTGATGGACTGTAAACTGGAATTACAAACTCAATAAACCCTTTCTTCTTTAGGTTACTTTTTGGTCATGGTTTTTTATCAGAGCAATGGATACAAACTAAGACAGAGGATTTCAAGGAATAAGTAATTCTGGAATAACTGGTAAGGTAAAACATACACTTTAAGCTCCCAGCCCCAAACCCTGAGAGAGCACAAGCTGTACCCTTCACTAATGTGTCTCTTATTGTATCGGTAGAGGGCACATCTCTTCAAACATGCACTTTCACTGCTCATATCTGGTATTTCTCTGGAGAATGCAGTCATTCAACTGGGAAACTCGAATAACACCACAATGTTCACCTAGCCTATGTGAATTGAATATGGGTAGTTTAGTTGAATATGTGTAGTTGACTATGTGGTAGGTAATCAAGTAGGTGTGCACATAAGGTAGGTTATTAAAGCCATGACTTAATGGGATATCCACAGTCTGGTAGCATCCTGTCCTTGCTTTCTGGCAACCGAGATGTGACCGTGGTCTTTAGCCATACACACCTAACAAATGCTCTTTGTCATTTGATAGATCCAAGTGCAGGACCCAGGGCCAGCTGACCACAGACTAAGACCAGTGAAACCATGAGCCAAACAAAAAATTACTCTTAAGAAGTTGAGAAGAAGAGGGATGGAGGGTAGGCTGGGAGGGGGCGACAGCTGGGATACAAAGTAAATAAACTATAATTAATAAATTAAAATTAAAATTAAAAAGACAAAAAGATGAAGTTGTTCATCTCAGATATTGTATGAAGGAGGGTAAGCTAACAAACACAGCCTGGGCTAAAGGCTACTGGGACCTCTTCCCTTTCCCCCATATCAGAAAAATGACCTACTGAGCAAATTAAGAGGGCTGATACAGGCTATCTCCAATGGTCTTCACCATCCCTGCTTTTATGTTCTATGACACCACTTGTAAATTTTAAAAACATTCCTATTTCATATGTTACTCATCCTAATATAATTATCTCAATAGATATGAAGCTATCTGTTAATTTTGGCTCTAATACAGGAAGGCATAAGTCAGCACAACATGTGAACGTATGACTTTGTTGTCTCTCTTCTGTGATAACATATAAATAACGATAGTACATCTGGTTATCTTTTTCAAGAGAAGAGAGGCTATTTAATGTCACAGCTCCAGGGAAGTTGTCTTTAGAAAGTTCTAGAAATGGTAAAGGAAAGCACATACATGCAAAGATATGGCTGTATATAAAATCCAGACTTCTGTTTTGTCAACCCAACAGGTTTTTAGGTTTACCCCTTCTGGTTCCATTGGGCATCTCCAAGTAACTGAATTCCATTTACCTTTGTCAAGAAGAAATGCTAGAGCAAAACAGTTGACTGCTCTTACCTTGGTATTTGGTATTTGCACTAGGACTTCACAAATATTCCAAAGACTGTAGGACTTACTGTCCTCCAGATCTAGGGCTGGTCTTGTTTTTTTTTTTAATTAAAATATTTTGTTTTTAATTTTATTAATTACAATTTATTCCCTTTGTATCCTACCTGTAAATCCCTCCCTCTTTTACTTCCAATCCCACCCTTCTTCCCTCATCTCCACCCATGCCCCTTGCCAAGTCCACTGATAGAGTAGGTCCTCCACCTTTTCCATCTGATTCTAGTCTATCAGGCCTCATCAGGAGTGGCTGCATTGCCTTCCTCTGTGGCCTGGTAAGGCTGTACTTCCCTGAAGGGGAGGTGATCAAAGAGAAGGCCAATTAGTTTATGTCAGAGACAGTCCCTGGTCCCATTACTAGGGAACCCACTTGAAGACTGAGCTGATATGGGTTACATCAGTGTAGGGGTTATAGGTTATCTCCATTCGTAGTCCTTGGTTGGTGTATCAGTCTCAGAAAACACCCCTGTGTTTTGGTTTTGTTTTGGTCTGTTGCTCCTTGTGGAGCTCCTTGTGGAGCTCCTGTCCCCTCCAGGTCTTTCTATCTCCCCCTTCTTTCATAAGATTTCCTGCACTCTGCCCAAAGTTTGGCTATGAGTCTCAGCATTTGCTTTGATATTCTTCAGGGTAGAGACTTTCAGAGGCCCTCTCTTGTAGGCTCCTATCTTGTTTCCTGTTTCCCCCCTCTTCTGATGTCCATGTTCATTTGCCTTTCTGAATGAAGACTGAGCATCTTACCTAGAGTCCTCCTTCTTGATTAGCTTCTTTTTAAAAATTCTTTATTAATTACACTTTATTCACTTTGTATCCCCCCTGTGATTCCCTACCTCCTTCTGTCCCAATCATTACCTTCCTCTACCCTTTGCATGCATGCCTCTCCCCAAGTCCATTGATAGGAGAGGTCTTCTTTTCCTTCCTTCTGATCCTAGTCAATTAGGTCTCATCAGGAGTGGCTGCATTGTCTTCTTCTATGGCCTTTAGGTGTACAGATTTTAGTATTTTTATCCTATATTATATGTCCAATATCCACTTACGAGTGAGTATATACCCTGTGTGTCTTTCCGCTTTTTAGTTAGTTTGGCTAAGGGTTTGTCTATCTTGTTGATTTTCTTAATGAACCAGTTCTTGGTTTCAGTGA